CATTATCACATTCATACTGCATTTATGTATTGTTTTATAGCATTTAAATATTTATAAAATGCATAGATTGGGCCAGGGAGATGGCTCAGTAGAATAAGCACTTGCCTAGTAAGTGCAAGGGCCTGAGTTCAATCCTCGGTTCCGCAAAAAAATAAAATAAAATAAAATAAAGCACAAGGGCCTGAGTTCAATCCCTGGTTCCATCAAAAAAAAAAAAAATAAAATAAAAAGAGTAAAATGCATAGATTGTTTAGAAAATAGTAAAGAGAAAAAGAAAATAGAAAATGTACAAAGGGAAAGTAGCATTTTTAGTTTGTTTTGTCTATATTTCTCCAATATCATAAAGTAAGTCAGCAGTTGAGGGTAAATACATGATTCAATAGCAGTCTTTTTGCACTACTATTACATTATTTGCGTGCAACACAGTTACAAAGGTATGAACCTCTCCTCATTTTCCTGGTGGATGGAAAGCATAGTCAATAGAAGCTCAGCCTCCACAGCAGCAGTACTCATGAAGGATCGTTGATGGCTGCTCTCAAGGAACCCAGCAGGTCTGCACTTGTCATCGTGTTCATGTTCACCTCCACAGCTTCTCCTTTGGCCTTCATGTGAGCGATGTTGTCAGGTTGATCAGCAAATAGGGGGACTCCCACCATGGGGACCCCATGATGAATGGCTTCATAGATTCCATTAGTTCCACCATGCGTGATGAAAGCCTTGGTTTTGGGGTGCCCTGGTTTAAGAATAGGTTGTGGCTTAGAAGTGGATGTGGATAATTAGAAGATCTTAAGAGACAGAAAATAGAAAAGGAATCCACAACTCAATCAAGAAGGCAGTATTTTCTACAGATGTTCAACATATTGTTGCTCAAGAAAACTGGATCCCAGCATGAACAGAACTTAACTCCATTCTCTCTATAAAGGCAGCCTTACCAACAGTAGTGACATAGGATTGGAACTCCCAGGCTGATTGAGCTTCTTAACTGAAGATGCTCTTGTGTGAACCAAAGAAGCATGTATCAATAAAATGAAAATATTTATTTAATTTTATCTCTTTTAAAACTGTATATCAGAGGTGAAATATTCAAGGAGTAAAATGCTTTTAATGCATTTTTTCTGAAAATGTTACTGAACTTATTTATTGTGAAACTGCACAACTCTTCTCTTGAGGTCTTACCAAGAAGGTCGTTCTGGGGTATCCAATCAAACAGTCGAGTGTTGGGTCCTAACGTGGCTGGCTCCTTTCCCTTGTATCTCCATAAAACCTGTGAGGACAAGGCTGTCACGTTGCAAGTAAAAACAGACAATGTGTGTGTATTAATGTTCTAGAATTACTTAGAAATCACATGGCCATTAGTCTTCAGGCTGATAAATCAGTAGAGGATATATCTGCTTGTTTATAAATGCTGTAAAAATATTCTACTATGGACAGTATTTTTTGGTATGTATGAGTAAGTATCTATCTATCCATGTATATTTTGATATTAATCCTTTAAATGCTGTTAGGAGTGAGACATAACTGAAAAATAGAAAGTATAGAGAGGTGCTAAACAGCATTGGGCATTTAAAACAAGATGACATATATGAATGCTATCCAATTGATTTATCAAATATAATTTAGTCATTTTTGCTCTCAAATGTAATATTTGACCGAAAACTTAAGTTTAGATTCTGTGATTATTTTATAGTTGTTTTTTCTTCCCATCATCTGTTTGTCCCTCTTTCCTTCCTTCTTTCTCCACTTTTGTCTTTCTACATCCTTGCCTCCCTTCTTTCTTCTCTGCACTATCTGTTTTTGTCTCTGTTGTTCTTACCTCCTGTCTCACTATTTTGCTTGCTTTCTTTCCATCTTTATCTCTTTAATTAATCTTAGTAGGGTTGAAATAGTTGTTTTGCTTATATTCCATTTTTATGAGGTATTTGCCCAAATTTTAATGAGTATTTAGGTAGACATTTCCATTGGGGACAGAAGACCCCTTTCCATTCAGTGCTAAAAAGCAGAACACTCTAAAATAACAAACATATATCTCAATTTTAACACATTTAGAATGTTTCACTTATGCATTATATGGAATTTAACAAACACATGAATGAAATGAGTGGTAGAATATAAATTTATGCTATCATAAGGAAGAAAGAGTATATTATTTTTCAAGTATCATTTCAACTGTTGTTAGCCTCAGAATATTCAATTTTAAAAGAATAAGCAAATCTAGATTTCTGCTTTGGAATAAATTTTGACTTTGATAGCATAAAAATCTGAGAAATTTAGAAATATTTTGAGCCTGTATCCTTTCTTCGATGTGTGATTTCTTTCATATCAAGGACTACAACAATAACAGCTTTCAGAACACTGCACTTGTCAGTGCCAGTCAAAATATTTAGAATGACGCAATACTCGCTTTTTTATTCCACTAGACACAAGTGATCACAAAAGTGTTTTCCACAGTAAAACAACGTGACAGTGATCAAGCTAGTAGACTACGACATGTGACTAAACTATCCATTTTAATGCTCTACACAATCCTCTTTAGGCTTCTGTGAGCTGTGCACAGACAGAAAATGAGTATAACTTCTCCCAGGGAAGAATACGACTTGCGCTGTTCTCTCTCCAGGGAGTGCCAAAGTGCAGAGGAGGGCAAGAAAGCACACTGACCTTCTGTGGAATCTGGGCGAGGGCTGAGGCAATGAGATTGGCTTTTTCCTCTGTGAGGTTTTTCACCACTGAGCCCAGAGAAAACACCACAATACCATCTTCACCAGAACTCTGGACAAATTCTTCCATTTCCTGCAGACATGAAACCTTTCCATTAAAATGTGCAGCATTTGGGAGGATAAAGTGAAAAGAAGTGTGAGAGAAATGATTAGATTGTGTTGTAGCTTGTGTCTGTATATCTCCCTAGGTCTCATGCACTTAGAAGTTGAGTTTTAAGAGCTAGATGGATCGAGGGTGTGTGTTACTGTGAATAAGGGTGCCCCATTTTAGATGTGGGTTGAACTGCAGAAAGGAATTTAGTCTGAAAGGCATATGAAGGTCTATTTTTAAAAACTGACTTCTGCCACTTCTTCTTCTGCTTCTGCTATTTTGTTGTTCATGCTACTGCTTTTACTAGGTCCTTCCTGCTTTCAGCAAGCCCTACCCTGTCTTGGACTGTTTTATCTCCTTGATTATGTTTTGCAATGCTAACCTACCTTAGAGCCAATCGATAAGGGACTAAAACTTCTACAAATTAAATGAACTAAATTATGCTAAATAAATCTTTCCTCTCTTAAATTGTCATTTATGGTTATTTTGTCTCAGCCAAAACTTTTTTTTTTTTTTTTTTTTTTTTTTTATGGAACCGGGGATTGAACTCAGGCCCCTGCACTTGCCAGGCAAGTGCTTATTCTACTAAGCCATTTCTCCCGCCCCAGAACAAAATAATTAACACAGACAGTTCCAGGCATCTGACATAAGGAATCATGTGGTTTAAGAGAAAACATATTTTAAGATAAAAGATATTTATTATTTAAATATATTTACTTATTTTTTATGTATTTGGTACAGGGTTTCACTATGCAGCTTGGACTTATACTGATCTTCCAGCCTTTAGCCTCCCCAGCACTGGGATTACAAGTGTACATAACCATGCCCTGACTCCATCGCTAGCTCAGCATGCCCCAGAAACAAGGTCAGCATGGCATGAGGGACTGGAGATTGATACCTGTTCCCTAGCTTGTCAAGCAGGTGCTGAGTCTGCTAAGCTATCTCGCTTGTCCAAATCTC